GCCCCCCAGTACCACTGCTCCCATTCTTTGTGGGGGAGGGGCGACCTGTAGCCCCTCCCACCGCAGGAGGACCCCAGTGGGGGTAGAGAGCTAGAAGCATTCTCACAGCACTCCACTGACCTCGACTGCTGTGTTTGCTTTGGAGCAGGAGTCGAGATTCCTTGGGGGGGGGGGGGAGACGAGAGGAGGAGGAGGAAGAGGGAGAGAGGAGGACCTGCCGTTATTTACGGTCTGAGGCACCCCCCCCCTGAGGCCGGCTGGGTCTGGCTCCACCCCCCTCGCCGTGCCTGCAGGTGCCTGGCACAGCCGGCGAGGCCAGAAAACTCAGCGAAGATCAGCCACGATCAGCAGCTACAACCCCCGCACTGCTTAGCAATGTGGGAGGGGGGGGGGGGCTGGATCTTAGGGTGTTCATCACGGTCAGGACCACAGAACAGCCCCCTGGGGAGCTCTGATTAGGGGCTAAGTGTAGCCAAGGCTTTTGGTTGCAGTGTGTCAGAAAGCCCGAACATGGGACGTGTGTGTGCGCGTGTGTGTGTGCGCGTGTGTGTGTGTGCGCGTGTGTGTGTGTGTGTGCGCGTGTGTGTGTGTGTGTGCGCGTGCGCGTGTGTGCGACTGTGTGTATACATGTCTGTGTGTGAGTGTGCTTGTGTATGATAACGACTAAAATTGCCAAAGGTCTTGTATTTTGTTTGGTTACTTATGGTTAAGGTTAGGAGTTAAGGTTGTCATAGTTGGGATTAGAGTTATACCCACAGAAATTAATGGAAAGTCTCCATAAAGATACAAATAGCAACTCTGTGTGTGTGTGTATGCATGTGCATGTCTGTCTGCATGCGCTTTGCATGTGTGTGTGCCTGTGGAATTCAGATCCCAAGATCATCGTGTTTTCCAAATATCCTCAAATTCTGTTCTGTAGACGGTTCTCCATAAATGAGAACATCCTTGGCCGAACAACTTAACCTCATTTGGTGCGTCGATCAAAAAAAAACAAAAAAACAACAACCTTTCTTCCTCCCCCCCCTCGCTATGTACGTTCTGTTTCACAAAACTGAACTTTCCAGTTTGACGTTCTCAGCCCGAGTGGTGACAGGCTCTGCTTGTTACGAATCTTCCCAGAATATTAAATTAGCTGCGCTTGGCGTTCATTAGGAACAGTCATTGGTGAATAAGAGTGGATGATGTCAGGGTCGTTCAGCTGGAGAGAGACTCCCACTTGGCAGCGAGCTGGGTCCTGGTGCCTCAGTGTGGAGACGGCACGTCGAGGCAATGCATCGCAGGTCAGGGCCTCCCGTGCACCGTGTTCTGGTCTTCATAGTGGTCATGCGAGGTTGAAGGGCGAAGAGAAGCCAGGGGGGGTCATTGCTGATAATACAGTCCAGCCACCAGGTTCACCAAGTACTGTCCAGCTGTGCCCCCCCCCCACGGCTCATCCCGATGGGAGATTCCGAAGAAGACCTTTGCCCGGCACATAAATATTTATCCTCACAGCTGGCTTTCTTTCCAGCGTGCTTTTGCTAACGGCCAGTCACATTCGCAGACTTGCACGCGTTCGGCTACGTCGCAACACCGCTTAAAGAACGGAGACAGATGGGCAGCTTCAGAAGGTGGGGGAGGGGGGGGGAATTCAGGGAATTCCGTACATGCGGTTCTGGTTCCTGTTCGGGCCGCCGAGGAGGGTGGGAGTGGGCCTAGCGCGTGGCGTCACGGGGCCTGTGTTGGGCCCGGGTTAGCGGAAGAAATCAAGTCAGCTCATTGACGCTCACATCTAAACGTTCTAAGCCACCGTTCTGCGTCCGAGAGTCTGTCGTCAAGGATATGCCGTGTTTAGGTACCCAAATAAAACCGGGCCGTGATGAAGGGCTCACTTCACCTCGATGATAGATCTGTGTTTTGAGTTCAAGGAGAGGCGAGTGCAATTGTCCAAATAATAGCACGCTTTTTTAGAGGCATGCAAAACAATTACAAACACCTAAATCACCACACTGCAGAAGCAGAAAAAAATACATACAAATGAACATCTCTAAAGGCCTGTTAAACAGAGCATATTTTATCCTTCTGTGTTTGGATAGTGTTGGGAGGCAGGAGAGTGGGGGGGCATCATCCGGGGAATCTGACTTATGCTCAAAATAGGAAAACTGATCGAATCCTTTCACTTTTTTTGGCCAGAAATGTAACGCTCATCACTGCACTGCCAAAAAACAGACAAAGAGAGAGACAGCTGTGTCTTACTCAGGGAACCGCAGTTCAACTGACATCAGCAGTAACCCTAATGCAACCGTATGTGTCATGGATTAATGGTTTAACTTTAGAGTAAACGCTTTAAGTTTGGAATTAAAAATCATTGCTTTAATTAGATTATCCAGTGTTAAGCCTTGATCACGTTTCTGCTGTGATTACCATGACATTGTGCAAAATCGTGCTTCTTGTTTATGCCAAACAGAAGCATAAAATGTGCAGGCCAGGCTCTGCCCAATCCGCGGTATTTCCAGAATGTTCCGTAAGTTTCTTATGATCATTAGTATTGTGTAGTAATGAGGAATTCCTTGGTTTCTTCTGCCTCATGCCACAAAAAAAAGCTGATAAAGATCTAAAATCAACGATTCATATCCATTCACCAAGAGGGAGATTTATCTCAGAAATTCACTGCTAGCTACTTTTTTGGAACTCACTTTGATATGTCGTGAAAGCAGCGTAGGTTTGTCAGATGTCTGCGGATGGGCCTTCACATGCTGCTGATAATGTTTTTACAGTGTGGTTATGAGTCACTGATCACGAAATCGTAACACACACAGCAACAGGGGGCAACCTCTCCAGCAGGCCTGAAATCCCAGTAAAAACCCCAAAACAGCAGACCAGTATAAGCAGCTGTCCAGTCACCTTATAAGGACGGTCCATAAACTCCAAGCCCTTGAATAAAGGCTATGAGTTCCCCGGAATTCTCAAGCTAACTTGTCAATCAGATGCACAGTACCAGCACCCTGGAATGTACCACCGGGTTGGGGGGAATTATAACACAAGGAGTTGTTACCCCTGGGCTGTACCACAGGGAGTGAGCGGGGGTGGTCTGATCCTCCTCTTTCCCATCTTCATCTACCAAATATACTGTCCCAGTCCTCCACAACTATACTTGCCGTTGAACCTCAGCTGCTCAATAGCACGACTGCATAACTCTTCCCAGCTCCCCCCCGCCTCTCCTTTCTAAATCTGCTCCCACCTAAATGAATACAAATTAGTGTTTTCTTTCTTAGCTAGACAGCAAAGAATGTTATCCCAAGTCCAACTTTTTTTTTTCCAAGGAGCAATATTGTCTTAAAGAAAAATAAATGCACGAAATTCTTGAGGATGCAATCAGAGTGTGATAAAATTGCTGCTAATGTTTCAGATCGCTGGACCCGAGGACGGAATCGTGGCTTGATGGATTCAGTCCAGCCTGGATCTGACATTTTTACGAGGGGGTAGTGCTCCGATTGCCTCCAAAAGTCCCAATTCTCTCACTCACCAAAACAAGGGGAGAAAAAAACACAAACACACTTTGTCTCTTTAGTTTAGTGTGGGAAACATGTTAAATTTCCTTAGAAGGAGTATTTCCATCCATTTTAACAAAAGGAAAAAAAAAAAAGTTTTTCAGAGAAATTAAGGCAGGTAATTTCTTTAGTGAAGAAGGATGACATGTTTTGTTCAATTAATATATCATTCTTAAACCAGATTTATACTCTATAATGCTTAGAGGGGCATGGGGGGGAATGTATGTTTTATAAGAGCTGTAAAATCAATCTGGTAGCCAATAAGTTGCAATTACTGATTCTGGGGAAAAAAACACATTTAGACAAGACAGTTATTTATGAGTAATTCAGAGTAAATCTTTAAAGTTGTGGAAAGAATATGTATTCAATAGGGGTGAAATATGAAGAAGGAATAGATTTAACAACAGACAGGTGATTCACAATGACCATCTTATAACCACTTGTCCTGGGTTGCATCATGAACATGATTATGATGTGAGTGCGAGACACTATGGGGGGGGGGGAGGGAGGTGGAATTACTTCAGGGTCTCACCTACATGTGAAAAAGTAACCTCAAAGTCATCAGATATTTTCATTTTTGATGGTAGCGATCAAAAGGGAATAAAATCTGACAGATTCTATGACCTTTTAAAAAATGGTAACAAATTTTCTACAAAATATGCAGATAAGACTGCAAGGGTGAAAGACATTGTACAGAAAAGAACCGAAGTCTGACAGGATAAACATTCGTGAAGGGTTCTCCATTATTTTTTGGACCTTGCAGGAAAAGATGTGTCAATCCTGGATTATTTGACATACAGAATTGTGAATGATTGTATCTAGCAATAACAGACTTGTTTATTTAAGTTGTCCATGCATGATAAGTTTACTAGACTTCAGAGGATAGTTCAAGTCCAGAGAGTAAAAGTCCAGACCGAGATTTTGTTTCAATCAACAAGTTGAGTACTATGTGACTGTGACTGGAGTATAAAAAGTCACAGTCACATAGTACTCAACTTGTTGGTCGAAACAAAATCTTGGACTTTTACTCTCTGGTCCTGAATTACCCACCTCTGTCGGACTCACTTTTGCCGTCCTGCCCTGGGGGACGTGCTCAAAGCTAATGCTAAATGACCTTTTAGCACATTTATGTGAAGTCAGAACGTGCATTTCGGGTTAGATGGGAGCAAATGTGAGGCTTTAAGAAAAGGTGATCGGGGAGAGTTTTAACATGTCGTCATAAAAACAACCGTCACCATTATGTAACCGCTGTCATGGACACCACTGGATAAAAGCTTATATTTCTCTGCTTTATAGTGCCATGGTAAAGTCTCCCCTCTTCCTGACTTCTTCCAGTACAAATGTTTGACACTGAATGGCTGCAGATATTCAAATAAAATCTAATATCAGAAGACGGGTGCCTGAATGGACAAAAAATTACATTTCTTATTTAATCATTTTAATGAATAAAGTTATCAAACATCAATATTCCTGTGTAAAAAAAATTGTCCCCCCACTTCCTAATTAAATCAACCCATTAAAAGAAGTCAGCTTACTGATCACAGCTAGGCTTGATTATAGCTAGAAATTATCAACATAACTCACAGATAGTTTGTACTTTACTTAGAATTAAGTTACCAGCGGAAAACAACATTTCAGAAGTAGTCTAAAAAAGAACCTTAATCTCCAAACAGAGAACAGTAGAATGTCTTCCTAGTACCGACCAGTCTACCAATACCTCTCCAAAAGTACAAAATAAAATAATCCAGTCACAAATAAATCATAAAATTACATCCGCAGAACTATAGGCTTTTCTTGCTTCAACTATGGTGAGTTTCCATGACTCCACAATTAGAATGACAGCAGGTCAAACTGGGCTTCTTGGTAGAGTACCTTGGTTGAAACCACCACTCACAATGAAGATCATAAATCCTTGTCTCAAGTTTGCCAAGAAGCACCTTGGACGGTCCCCAAGCCTTTCGGAAGAATGTTCATGGGCCGATGAGTCAAAGCTACAACTTTTTGAATGACATGGGTTCCATTATATCTGATAAAAAGCAAACACAGCATTCCTTAGTAAGAGTCTCATACCGCTGGCAGTGATTTGGAGATACTTTGCTACCTTAGTACCTGGACAACTGGCCTCCGCTGAAAGAACCATGAATCCTCTTGAAGAATGTAAGGTCATCCATCCATAAGCTGAAGCTGAAATGCAGCTCTTGCATAAAAAGAAAGTTTATAGCTTTGGAATGACTTAATCATAGTCCAGAGCTAAACCTATTTGAGATGCTAGGGTAGGACCTGAATCGAGCAGTTCACACTCAAATATCCACAAATCTTGGTAAAAAAAAAGCCCTTTCTGCATAGGAGAGTTATCTAGATGTCCTCCGCAAGGATGTGGAAGACTGAGAATCATTTACAGGAATTGCACGGTTGCAGTTACGGGTGGTGCATTCAGTTATCAAATGCAAAGGGACAGTTTCCCTGCGCCTGTGAAACACCATCTGAACTGCTGGATCACTTATTAAAAGGAATATGTAAAACAATATTTTCTGTCCCTCGTATTCCTTTTATTTAATATTAGAATTTTTCTGAAGATCTAAAAAGAGACATTGTCAACCTATGCAATGATGGAGGAAATCAGGAAGGGGGCAAATACTTTTAAATAACATCGTAAGTCGCTTGTGTGTCTCGTTCCATCGATCACAGGAGACTAAAGGGTTGCTCCTGATGTCTAATACTTGGACTCTGGACCATATAATCCTGTTGTTTACGTGAAGAATGTCATGAAGATAGATGGCCTCAGTGCTGCGAGGAGTGCCGTGGTCGAGATGGCCATCTTGGTGTAAACCACTCACTCTCGGCCCCACGATGGTAGCCGGGCCGACCCTCATTTGGCAGAAACCCCCCCTGTGTTTAATCTGGCGAAGGGATTGGTCCTTTGAAGGTTGGGTCCTGCCTCTGGCCAGGGCGACAGTTGAAAGTGCTGCATGGCCGTCCTCATATATCATTCCGGCAGCCCGCGTTTGATGTAGGAGGGCCACCCCGTGCGGGTGGGCTGCCAGGGGTTTCCCCGGGCAATCAATCCTCTGGCTCAACCCGGGACCTGGCCCTCCCCATCTGCCCTAGACCTCTGCCCTGCTGGCCAAAGACCCCTATCACCCGGAAGCACATTGCACTTAGCTGGACTGTGACGTAGCACGAGTGCTAACACCGGGCCCAGTCATCAGCTAATTGCCCACTTTGCATTTTCAGACACCTTATTTGCTTACTTCATTTTCGATTCACTGAGATAAATACGCAACATGAAAAATATAGGGGGCGGCGTGGTGGTTAGTACTGTTGCCTCACACCTCTGGGACCCGGGTTTGAGTCTCCGCCTGGGTTACATGTGTGTGGAGTTTGCATGCTCTCCCCGTGTCATCATGGGGTTTCCTCTGGGTACTTCGGTTTCCCCCCCCACAGTCCAAGGACATGCTGAGGCTAATTGGAGTAACTAAACTGCCCATAGATGTGCATGTGTGAGTGAATGGTGTGTGATATCTGTTTATTCAAACTCCATTATGAAGCACTGAGCTAGACAGGGTTTTGTAAGATATAAAAAATGCATTCCATTTACTGCTCCCATTGGTACACTAAAAAAAATCCCCATCCTTTCTCATTTCCCTAAAAAAGGGGGAAAATGTTACTTTCCTTCAAATATTAAAAGAGGTATATGTCTTTTTGCATATTGTTTTGTTCAGTGGTCCAGCGTGACTTTTCGAATACTGACAGGTTGTGGAGATTGGCAGGCAAAGTGCACAGCATACTCTCAGCTCACTTAGTCACGGCCTGAGAAAAATGCAACTGATTTCACCCCCCCCCCCCCCGAAATAACTCAAAGTGACGGCTCCCTCCAATCTGTCTGATCCCGTGTCCCGCCAGTGTCTCGGAGCGAACCCGGAGTTCTCAGTCGCATCTCTGCTCCAATGCGGCTAAGAGCGTACGGAAGCCCGAAAGGGACAAACCGTGGGGTGACTTGTGGTTACAAGGCTCTGAAAGGTTAACAAAACCCCGGTTTAACAAGAAATCTCACAGCTGCCTTATACGTCCTGCTCATGCATTACTAGTCTTACCAGAAGATAACAGTTTACAATTATATACATGCATAACAAAATAATGGCTACACAGAATTTTTAGTAACACTTTGTTGGGGGGGGAGTAGGCCTAACTTTGTACTTGAACTGAGCAACTGAGTTAATAAATATGAACAAATATATATAGTGACTGCATGAAACACAAGAATCGTTCCGACTGATTAATGAGGAACGAACATGGGATCAGTACATAACTAACACTTGTGTCTGGTTAATTAATGCATTAAGTAAGTAGTGTTACCAGATTTTAAACAAGGCGACGCTTAAGTAACAGACTCATTTAGCTACAAACAAATAAGCTAATAACTAATTAAGGTACAACAGAGCCATTTTAGGAATCTCTAGAGCTAAATTTTGTTTTCCTTAGGGACTAAGTCACCATTGAAGTCTTCTCCCATGAGTAGTAACAAAACTCTCTCTGCCGTATGCAAGCAAACCATAAAGGGGTTACCCACACAAATCACGGCCGCCACAATCGCCTGTGATCTATTAAGACGGATAGTGTCCCCTCTGTTAGCTAACAAGCCGCCTCTTTTTTTGCCCGTATTTTCTTTTTTAAACGACGCTGTTTGCTGCTGTCTTCCCGGCTGCCCTGAGTACCCGTGCTCCTTTCGTATTTTTCTCCATCCTTCAGCGAACAAACACACAGACGTCCAGGCGAAAGCGGCTCCTACCTCCGGTGTAGCGCCCAATCAGCTGGCCCCATTTCCTTTGTTGATATCGTGACTATAATGACACGTGGTTTTATGTCACACGTAATAGAACCTGCAGATAAATCCGCTAACATCCAGAAATCTGGCGAGAAGTTGTCCTTGCTGGCTGTACCTTGGTCTGCAAAGGGATATTGGAAAAAATCTCTAAACTGTAAGAAAAGTAATTGAACAATGCAGTTGTATGTGTAGTGTATTCCACATAATAAGGACTAGTGTTAAAGTTGTTCATTTGCATAAAGTGTTGCTTGCATGCTGTACATTATTAGTATACAGAAAGTGTTCAATTGAGAAAGTGCGAAGAAGAAAAAGACCGTTAAAAGCCATAGTCTGTTTTAATTAAAGTAGGTCAATAACACAAAAAAAATTATACAGGCAATAGACGCACTATAAACATGCACATATTTAAATTGCATTTTCTCGTTATACTATTATTATGCACATTATCAGGTTTACTACCTTCACTAAGTATTTTGGAAGTAACAAAAATAGTTCTGTGGGGTAAAGATCAAACCTCCAAACTCGTGATTAGTGATTTGTGGTTTGGGTGACAGAAGTGGCCTCTAGTGGTCAAAAGGTTACATGCATCAATTACTCTACTAATCATATTTATGCGACTGAAATACACTACGAAGCAAATGTTCAGAGAGGAATTGTATTCCAAATGAACTCTTGATTTGTATAACTGTGTACAAATCTATTGAGCTTGATTAACAGAGTCATTTGTCCAGCCAGCTTTATGTATTTTAATCAATAGATGAAAATATAAGAAAAACATTGTTTTTATAAAAAAAAAAAAAAAAAGGACAAGGAATGTCAAAGAATGACATAGAAGAAATAAAGTTTTAAGAATAGTCTCCCCTAGAATTGCTTTCGTAGCTGGTTTTTGGTCATGATAAGTCCACTTTAACACCTACTATTCCAGGCGGTTTGGATTCATAAAAAGTTTTACCAAAGAATACACAGTGTACAAAAAGAGCATTTACCGTGACCTTGCTTTGGAAAACAAGCTGATAGTTAGTGGGAGTTGTAACGTTTGGACAGGGGTGTTTGCTCTGGGACTGAGGAGGAAAAAAAAAAAACAGGCTGGTCTTCAAACGAAGAAGCATTTAAATGATACTCACAGTGAAAACCCAGAAAGTGTGCTCCTGAGTTACCTGGGGGGGGGGGGGGAGTGTTACGGGGAACAGTCTAGTGTCCAAAGTCAGCTATGCGGCCGAGGTCATCGAAGTGGACACGTGGGAAAACGAAAGGAAGCGAATTAGAGACCGTGAAACATTTATTAGGAAGTGATGTGAGCGGCACCTGGGCGCCCTGCCGTTTCAGTTCAGTCGTATAAGGCAGTTTATTGGTGCCCTTGCGGTTTGTTTTTACAGTGAGGTGGCCGTTGCTGTGTGTGGGGGTGAGGGAAGCTTCGTTTGTGTCGAGATGAGGGCTGGGCACCGAGGTTTGGCGTTTGCGACAACGTGCAGCGGAGGGGCAGAGCCACGCAGGACCGCAGGGTGACAGAATGCGGAAGAGACACATGCGAAGGTATGCGCAGGGTAAGGGACAAAGTCAGTTAAAGGACGTGTTGAGGTTAAAGGACACGTGAAGTTTAAGGGACAGTCAGCCGGATTTGGTGACATGCAGCGTTTATTTTGACAAATCTGTGTCCCTTCACAAATGCGGTAACGTCATCAAACATCAGTGGGGGTGGCTTATAGTAAACCTCATAAATATGGACATATTCCCATTCAATGGCTCTTTAAGTGCCTAGCTCTGTTCTGAGCATGCTCAGGTACATCCAGTGGGGCGGGACTTCCTGTGAGATTGAAGGAGGCTACGCCCAATGGGCGGAGTTTGTGCGTCTGCTCGATGCTCTTGCAGAGGTCAGGTGGCACCGTTGACTTGCTCTTCCACCTTACAGAGATGACTTAAGACATGATCCGTGTCCTTGGCGGAGCATGCGAGCCGCGGGAGCCCAGATGGGGGCGAGGGGGGAGGGGGGTAGCTGCTAGGTGTCCATCACACTGGAATTTCTGTTCCCCAGAAACCCAGCTGAACGGAGGGAACTGAAGCAGGAGAGATAACGGCCTCTGGAAATAGAATGGCAGGAATCTTAATGGGGGCAGAGTGCTGGGGGGGGGGGGATCTGCTGTGTATCAGCAGCCTGCAGGTGGGTGAGAGTACAGGAGGAAACATTAAACCGATGGAATATGCAATGACGCACTGGGCTCTTGACACCGAGAGTGGTACTTCAGAATCCTCTGTGTGTGTGTCTGTGAGCGTGTGACTGTGAGCGTGTGACTGCATGTGGACACAGGTTTCGTTATCTCTCTGGCCTCTGCAAACGAAAAACACAACAAAAACAGATGTGGGGAAATCCTCACACAATGCTTTGCAACTTTTTGTTTGTTATCAGATCCAAGCACGGCCTGTTAGAACAGCATTCAGAATCATTAACCGTGTCAATACGCCAGCTCTTCCAAACACGGAAGTTCAAACGGGTGTCCGTGGTGACTCGTTTGATCATACCGGTCTTGGTTCTCGAGTTAAAAAATCCATCTGCTTCTCTGCTTCAGAATGGAAATGCTTTGCGGTCCCGCTCCGTAAAAACATGGTCCTAAATGAACATGACGGACTGCCGGAAAAGAGTGGTATGTGTAAGGCCGGTACCATCCCGAAGAGTCTCAGCGAGAGAGTAAAAGCTTTTTATTTGCTGCTACTGTACGGTGAAGGATAATAACAAATGAATTTGCCTTGACCCGTGCAGCCCTGTGGACTTGGCTGAAACTTTCCTTAATCAGCACACTTGAGCGGTGGAAAGAGAGCGGCCAATCTCCTGCCAAAGAACGTGGCACTCCAGGCGGCCCAGCGAGGCCACGGCCCAGTACCAGGCGGCCCACAATGAGGTGCCGTTAAGTCGTGCCGACAGGAAATCTCACACAAACACAGGAAGTGGCCCATTTCACAGGGGCACGGACCAGGGCCGGAGCCATAACGAACTCACGACTGATGGCCGACGCAGATTAACCTGGGAAAAAAACACCCACGGCCCCCAGGGTCTTATCATCACTGAGTCGACATCACCGTCTCACCAGCAGCCCACTATTACAGGGGTGTGTAGAGCTCCCCTGATACCATGACTAGCTCTTTATATGCCTCAAATAACTTCCCCCTCAACACATCCCTCTCAATGATTTATAATTGCTAATTTTCATCTGCACTAAAAAAAAAATGATTTTTTTTCCGGGGGGCAGGATGACGAGAACCATGCAGGAATAGCAGGCATCGACGTGCGCGCCAGCCACGCCATTAAAAAATAAAAACATGGACGAGAGGAAATCTCGCGAGAACAAGCCGGCGCCAGCCGAAGTTCAGGGGAGCGAGAACAAACGCCTGCGGTCGAAGCGAGGACACCAGCCATGGAAAGGAAGACGGGACGAATGGTGCTTTAGAGACGGGCTTTATCGCCCTTTTATTATGAAGAGAAAAAAAAACTCTTAGACTATACAGTTAACTCCACAGATCTCATTTCTGAATTCATACGTTTTTTTTGATACAGTGTGTCAGTAACAATTCAAAACATTTAACAGCAAAGTAAATAGTAACTATCCTTCTGTTGCTTATTAAAGTCGAATTTTCTCATTTCTTTCATTTACAACTTACAACTTCTAAAAAGCAGTATTACCACATACTTAAAATAAATGTTTGCCACATTTGTAAAGATTTGTGAAAAGTGACATTTCTGTCATTTTAACACCTAAGCGTGGAGGACGCTGTCTCGGGGCTTGGGGGCGGGGATGGGGGGGAGGTGTTTCACAGAGTTGAGCAGCTGATCCCGCTCAACACAGCACCACCGATATCCGAGCACCAAGTAACCAAATTACTCCCGCGGGATGCCATCACAAAAGTATACCTTTGGACAAATGACCTTTGTTCCTCAAACCAGACTCTAAATAATACGCATAGCATGAAAATATTAAAGTATGAAAATTTAGGATCGATAGCACCCTCTTATCTGTTAAAATTCAAATACACTACATGGGACTGTTTTTTTTTTATTATTAAATAAAAGAACTATAGGGGATTGTTCCGTGGATTAAGACGTCAGCAGCATGATTTGGGTAGCTATGTTATTTTTTCATATTCAGTTGATCAAATAGAAAATAACATTGTCAAGGGGCGGGCGTGGTGATTTCTCATCTCCCCTGAAATAGCAGACAAACTGTGTCAGAAGAAAATATGAACAGGGAGACCCCTGGTGGCCAATGAATGTAAAGCAGCTTCCAAAGCAGTTCGATGCACATTGAATAAGTTAAGTAAGTGTGTTATGTTTGCAAAACAAAATGGTTCTTTGTAACCTGACAAATCACAGAATTGAAAACTGGCACCGAATTCAGATATTGCCAGTGTATTATGAGGGAGTCGTTAATGCAGAGATGTGCAAATAAAATGAACTTCAAGTGTCATACGCTTCATCCAAGCCGATAGCGATGAAAGTACAATTGATATTTTTTATTACATGTAATATAAATGGCGCTGTAGAGGTAATTAATTCAGAAAAAAAAAATCAGGGCTATGTGTGTTTTTTCGATGATGTGAGATATTGCAGTGCAACAAGAGTTAATTACAGCCACCTTCATCACTGTATGGACGGAATAATGGTGCTTTATGAAAGATATGCCCGCTATTTAACTTCATTAGATGTGTCGCTGAAGCGAGCCATAATAGCCTTATCTATTTGTAAACACATTCAATTCAGAGGAAAAAGGCGTACACGATGTTGTTTCCTTGGTGTCCTTGTCACAACGACATATGTCATAGGTGCATAAAAGGGACTGTTCCACCGGCTGTTGACGTTTCTATCAATTATTTTTCTTCTGTCGGATCTCAGCGAACAGCCCCAGGTGTGAAAATTTACATTTTTTCCTAAGTGTATTTTTTTTTTAAAACAATCGCAAGAGTGCGTCTTTGCGCTTCCGTGAAATCTTTTTTGACGGGCATTTTGACAATGCTGAAAACAAAACTAAGGCTGTTTGCTTAAATGGGACATTTACTTACTCAAATAGCAAAGTTAATCCGAGACCTGCAGTGTCAATAAGGGGCACTATGGGGTCCAAAGACCGAGTGTTGCTATGGCGACTGCAGTCCAACAAAAGATGCCATGAGCTGAATTTCAGCTCATAACACCTGTCTTGTGATGAATGATCGTTTACAATTAGCACAAAAAAAAGCCATATCTTAATGTGTCCATGGCTGGAGACAAAGGCATGAGCACATTTATTTGCAGATAATAACAGCAGAGGTGAGGAATTGTGAGTCTAGACCAGGGTTCCTGAATTCTGAATTCAGCTCACCAGACAAGTGCCAGGTTTAGTAGGTGTGTTTGAGGGGGGAACTCTGCAAAGTGTGCTGAAAACTGCCCCCCGAGGACTGGAATTCGGGAACCCCGGTCTAGATGAACCTCATGGCCTTTCCGGAAAATGGGTAGGAATTTTAATACATATACAATGAAAAAATCAAGTCAAAATGGTTCTGAGGTCCGTCCTGGAACAACTGAGAACCCACTATAGGAGTACGGTTCTACACTTCAATCAGAGCAATCTGACATGCTCTATCTAAGTCTGGTATGGTGGAATGGATTCCTTCCATAGGAAAAGACTCCAGCAGATTGTCACCAAGGTCTCAGTGATCTTTGGTTCTGTCCTGCCATCAATCGAACAACTATACACTGAAGGCACACAACAATGCAATATTCGAACCGTTTCAATGTTTACTTTCTCATCAGCACAGATCCCTGATGATCTATTTGCACATTTTACTTACACGTTGTGTTGTTTGTTATGCACTATACGTACGCGTTGTATGTGGCCTACCTGTGTCAGCTTCTACCGACCTCTATATTTGCACCATACCTTGCGTTTACTCCTCTGTTGTCTGTTTTGTGTCTTGTATTTGCTCTCTGTCCACTTTATGCCTAATTGTAAATCGTACATTGTCATGGTGTCTCTAACTGTAGCAGGCTGTGCTGACACAAAAGACTTTTCACAGTTTGTCAAAAGTAAAATAGACCTAGCCATAATCGGCCGAATAATAAATTTTAACTGTTAAGGTCCTTGTGGTTTATATCTGAGAAAGAGGTTTATAGATAATATTTATATAAATTTACCACAGCTAACTGTCATTAGCATTTTTATTTAACACTAACATTACAGCTAATATTACAGTTTCCTGACCTTACAGAAACTTGGAAAACGTCACACTTCATGTTAGCGAGAGTCCATTTTTTAAATTCCCTTTCTACCAGAAGATGGCGCAATATCTCTGTATTACAAACGGCTCGCCGCAAGGTGTTTTGGACCGTTCGTGTATAACCTTTTCATTTAATTCATCTGCAGATATTCTCTTTAGCTGACACGCTTGATGTATACAGTTATGACAATGATGGCCAGTAAAATATTTTGAATGCCTCACCTTTGGGCGCAAATTTTGTTTAACAGTTATTACATTGCAAATACAAACGTGTTTTTTACTCCCGTTGGACGACTTCATGTTTTACCATATACTGAATCCTATGTATAGTTTTCAGTATTGACTGGACCATTTACTTTGGTTATAGGCCTGACAGGAGGCTAAGTTATAGCACTATCTGTTAGGGAGCACTATGAACTCGACAAGTGCCGAAAATTTATATGCTACCACTGCAGATTAATTTAAAGTAACTGGAGCACCACACAAGAAAAAGGCTTAAGCAGAAGAATTGCTATAAATAGCCCACCCAGCTCTGCACCATCGTACTTAATGTGTATCTGCGGAGAAAGCGTTCTTAAGACAGTCGGATCCGCCATGCAGCAGTTATCTAGAGCAGGAGTGCAGTTTTTGCGGACGCAATTCAATACGGGCTGCGTGGTAGATCCGCCCACCCGCGGCCGACGGACCATCCCCTGTTCGGCGAAATCTAGCGAGGGGGACCCCCTCACCCTCTGGAATATTGTGTTGGGGGCCGCGGACCTTGGCTTTGATGGGATTTCAATCACAAATAACTGAATACCCCTGATCTAGGCTGTGGTAATTACCATTGACTCGATCTAAACATTTAAGTCTTCCTTCAAATCTGAACTAAACACATTTCTCTTCCAAGGACATTTATCTCCTGTCTCTTTCTCTTTTACTGATTAGTGGGGTTTTTTTCTCCTCCCGTAACGCGACCTTGGATTGTGAAAGGCGCATACTATTAACATATGTAACATATTATTATATTATATTACATTATATTATATATGCTATATTGGCCTATATTATATATTAGTAATAATAACTCTATGGAATGGTGCGGGTGCTGCATGACGTTCATTTAGCATTTGTTCTCATCAGATTTCGGGATGTTGGCGGCGCATTGGTGGAGTCCCAGACGTAATACTGCTGTTATACTGCTGAGGGTATGGATCGCGTGCCTAATCACAAAAGAAAGAGGGCGAGAAATGAGTAAGGATGGGCTGGTATCTGTCGCCTGTCGGTGAATCACAGAGAAGCATTAATGACACCTTAATAAAATATCCACACAGAATCTGTAGGTTACATAGTGAGTTTGGCATACAGTGATTCTAAATACCACTATAGGATTTACAATAAGACGTCATATAATACTCAGGTGCCTGCCTAGCAGACACAAGTGAAGCTATTTTTCAGAATTATATTTTATGTCTTAAACAGCTGTATCATGACAGTTTCTATTCAAAGCAGCCTCTTTACTCGATCCCCTTTCGCTTTTAATCGGACCCTTTTGATTTAGCAGTTTGCAAGTAAAATGCGTTTACTTGTATAATGACGCATGATAAACCAGCCCACTAACCCGATTAACTTGTTTTGGTGTGGGGTGAAAAAAGGGACCGACTCCACCCTCACCTAACAGTGAGCGGTGCAAATAATACAAGGCATGGGCGTAGCTAGACCCATTTTACTGGGGCACATGCCCCAGTATTGATCCGCTGTGTCCTAGTAAAACCTCACATTCGTGTTTTAACAAGCTCCTATATTTTTGGCAGTGTATTAATTTAGATTGATAATAAGGGGACAAAAATTGATTTCTTTCTGATCCACGTATCGGCGCCAGAAATAGGAATCGGGACTGAGGAATGATAAAACGATGTGACTAAAGTAAATTTGTAAGTAATTCCGATGATCATATTTTGATTTCGATTTAACTCGGTTATTATTGACTCCTGTTTATTGGCATCAGCATGGCAGTGGAAGTCGCAGCGCAACTAATCAAGGCTAGTCCAAATAGCACATTGTACAGCACATTTCATAAATATAGCAGGCATTCGAGGAAAAACCGTGTGATTTGAGTAATGGGGGGCCTGTGCCCCAGTAGAGCTTTATGTCAAGCAACGGTCCTGATACAAGGAACAAGGGTGTATGTGTGTATTGCCTTATTAGTAAATTAATCAGTGCGTATACAACGTAAAGGGTTAGGATAGCACATGTGTCGCCCCTTCTCCCCCCCCCCCCCCAAACGTCAAACTACCTCATCAGACTTCTTTATATCTGTTGAGTTAAACCGTCATCGCAGGCTGTAGTCTGCCTTAATACCTCCCCCCGCTGACCATTTCGTATTATGTAATCTTGCGATGCCATGTGGCGGAGAGGGGCGGGACCTGAGGAGGGAACGAGGCGTCCGTCAAGCGTGTCCGCGTCTCCCATTGGCCGGAAACACGCCTTCACTCGCCATAATGTTTTATTACCGCGCCCACGTGACCGCCCCGTCCCCTTTTCCTAAGGGCGCGCGCCTGAGCCCGGAGGAGCGCTCGGCGCAACGTCGGGATCTGCAAGGGCGCTCGCGGCTGTGCACAGTCTCCCGTTGAAAAGCAATCCCAGGTTGTTTCCCCCGCCCCTTATTTTTCCCTCCTACTGCTTGGCACAGTGCGGACCATGGCGGCCGCTACCAGCAGCGGCTCGGCCACGGCCGCTCTGCAGCTGAAGCACTCCGGCGGCGAGCATGCACGGAAGCGCATCGATCCCCGCAGGAGACAAGCGGCTCTCTCCTTCCTCAGCAACATCTCGCTGGACGGGCGGCCGGTGCAGGACGACGGCGAGAACCTGGGGGACGAGGGAAGTTCAGTGGAGGCCAGGACTAGACAGAGCCTAGCGATGCATCCGGCTGGCGCTTCGGCCCAGGCGTTCGTCGGTGCCAACCAGGCTCTCATGCTCGGCGCCCGGGCTAGTTTCGGGGTGAATCCCGTCGGCAGTCCGCCGCCTTGCGTCACCCCGGAGGGCATCGCGTTCGGTCGCGTACAGTCCGTCTTTGGTGCTCCGTACCCGGCCGTGTCGGCAGCAACTAGAGGGAGGCTCCAGACTTTCACTCAGGGATTTGCGCCTGCCACCTTCTCCAGGCAAGCCGCCCAGAGCTACTGCTGCATGGAGGGCGGACAGATCGTTGGTTCCGCTCTGGACCTGCAGAGATCCAGGTAAACTCCATCGGGCTGAGTGCATGGGGATCCTTCTGGATTGCACCGCTGTCACCCTTAAAGTTCAAAGAGAATTTGCAGAAGAAACCTTTGGACGACTTATGCCACCGAGGGCAATTAATTAGATCAGCCCTATCCCTTACAAGTCTAGGGATTAGCGGGCGATCGATGCCTGCCTTATACCATACGATGTTTAAGCTGTCAGCTTCACATGGTCCACAGTCACTATGCATCGCACCAGGTTGACTAATGTCACCAGTCCCCACCTGTTAAACAGCGTGTCCCGTCATTGCAGGCTGTGTCCAATGTAGAAGAGTAACTGGACCTGGAAAACATCGCCCTTTCTTGTATTAAATTAGTTTAGATCAAAACGTCGGGTCCTTTTCAGCTGGGTATAAAGCTGGCGTTGCTTATTATAGTAATGGTGGCGAGAAACTTTTTCGTACAAAAACCTGTATTGTGTCTAATAAATTTAATACCCCGCTTCTTTGTTTCCGCCCCGAAAGCCGACACAATGCTTTGCAACTGAATACTTTCATATTTCAATGAAATGATGAGTCGATGGGATTTTATCGTGTGTTCATAACCGCTTATCTGTAATTTTGGTCGCTGGGATCCGGAGGATGCATGAAGTGGAGGTACACCGTAGACGTGTGTGTGTGTGTTTCTCAGTGCGCTGCCTTAACAGATCTGCATTTTAATGGATCTCCAAACACCAGGGGAATTTGTCAACCCAGGAGGGCATGAGACAGCCAATCCCAGGTGTTTATAATTTATTTTCAAACGCTTTCAGTTGAAACGCATAAATCTTTAGGTCATCTGTTACACGTTACTGCAAAGCTCACTCAGTGTGTGCATTTTCAAACTGCCAAAGTGTGCATCTAGGAGTGCGATAGAGATCCACAATATTGGTTTGTTGTCACCTTTTGCGTAAAATAACGTACCCCGGTCCAGATCTGTACAGCAAAACCTGTGTGGTTTTCAAGCGTTCCTTTCTGGAGGTATTGACTCTCACTTCCATCATGTTTGTGAGTGACGATACGTGCTTCTGAGAAACTTCAAAAGGAAGGGAAAAGTTGGTCTGCTTCTGATACTGGAAGCAAAAACACTGTTTTGGCTGTTAAGTATAATCCCCCCCCCTCCCCCCCATGCAGTGTGCACTGCATGACTGCAAAGATACTGTGGGTGGAGCCACATCTTAAGAAACTGTAAAGGCTGCGTAATGAACCCAAGGCTCTCGGGACCCGCCAACAGAGATGCCCGGGGCAAACTGCCACCCTCCAGGATATCATGCCTGCAGGGCACCTGTGCGAGTAAAGTGGCCTCTATGGGGGGGGATTCAGTGGCCCATCTTCTGCGTAGATGTTGCAGTGCATACTAGAGAAGTCCAGAGTGTATCCAGACATTTCTAGGAATGCAAAGCGAGAATGGATACCGAAGTGCTTGGTGCTGATCTCCCCTAATGGTTCTTCAGTAAACGGCGAGGCAGGTGGGTCCCAGGATTCGGGTTCGCCTCTGTTCCGAAAGGCCCGGTAAAGTGGCTCGCGGGTCCCATCACCCATAGCGCCAGGTGGAGGTGTTTCAGCGCCTCTGGGATTCGGACATTTCAGAACCAGGTCGGAGGCTCGGTGGTGTGTGGCCATGGGGCTCGATGCCCTTTTTGGGAGTTTACAGATACCCGCAGGCTGCAGCTGGCACGTGGGCGAGGGCTGTACTGCTCCCCCCCCCCCTGTCTCCGCCTGGGACTAAAGAGGAATAAAGGGGGACCCCCACTGCAGCCGATCCCAGCTCTTCCCCCGTGACCTTTGGGTGACCTTTCCCTGATGTCTGCCGCTGATCAGAATCTGCTTCAGTAGCGGGCGCAATAAGTACCCGTGCGGGGCTGGAATCCGCACAAACCAGTGACTGGTTAAGAGCCTGTTCTGGGTGGCGTCTCGCTGGAGTTTGGCATTCCGCGCACAAGTGTCACTAAGGTGGGAACCTCCTCGATGCCGCGTTCCTGACGCGCAGCTCTCCAAGGCTGCCGAATCCGCGTAGCGCGCTTCTGTCCCTCCCAGGTGTGGCGGAATACCATCTCAGTGGTCACGGATTTAAAGTCCTGCATCGAATCATGATGGAGGAACGGTAGATGTCAACAAAACTCTCCCTGGGAAATAATAATAATAATAAAAAAAAAACGATGATGATAAACAAAAGCGTGTGACGTCTGTCATGTATTTTCTGAGGGAAACTTTAATCCTTACTTGAAAATTGTATTTTGTGTTGAAGATTGGGTTCTGCGGTCCATTCAGATTAACCTCAGCGAATGATTAGGACAAAATGACTCTGACCCGACCCACACAAACTCCTGCTTATTCAGTGCCTTTTGGTATCGGGCTGGACAAAATCATACTAAGTATCTGTGGGAAACATTAGGCTAGTCAGACCTGCGGTTCTCAGCCCGGTGCGGGTCTGATTGCTTCACTAAGCCATCTGCAGCTTGCATTTCTTTACCCATAAGCCCCTGGTGCTGTTTTGGGCAAGCAAAGAGCACCAGCAAACTAATATATCGCTGTCGTGTTGGGCTCCTTTACACCCCCAGGTGTCATATTGTGTTAAGATGATTGACTGCTCCTCACGCACAAATGCAAAAGAAACACACTCTTGTGTAATACTTTGTTTCCTGCTCTTGCCTGATTCTTAGTGCCTGGGAGACCCAGAAAAGGGTTTTATGAAAAGTTTGGCTATTTGGCTGCAGTTACCCGATGGGGTGTGAAGTTGATCGTTTACATACTACAGAAGAAAATAATTAAACGCAGCATGACTTTACATGCACCGTTTCTCCTTTTAATGCTGATGTCAGCAGAGATTTGGTATATTTTGTAGCTTGTTTAAATCTGTTTTTTTCCCCCTTCCCATAATGCTTTGCATTGCATCTAAGAAACACCCTGATGTGAATGACCTGTTGTGAATTTACTGTCTCCCAACCCTTTAGCTTGAGATGAACCTCCTGGCACTGCAGTGTGAACCTGAGTAACGTGCAGCCGGTCGAGACCCTTTCCCCCCCTGGCCTTGGGATCGGCTGGTGTTGTGTGTAGCCGCTGTGACCGTTGTTTATTATTTCAGTTTGTTTTTGACGGCCCGACTCCGAGCACGTTCTGTGCTCTGTGAGTGACTTTCCAGGAAAGGTACGCGATTTGATCCCTGTTGTGTGGCCCACACCACTCCTGCGGCTCGTGGACTCTTCCCACGTGGGTCAGGTTAACGAATTTCCCGTGCGCGTGGGGGCGTTCACGGCGCGCTCCGTCAGCCGTCGTCACCTTCTGGATTGAGAGGAGCGTCATCCGCCCGTGACGTTCTTCAACGTCTGCGTGTAACATCCTGAATCCCAGAAGCTGACGCCCTGCTTCGTAACGGCTTCATATTTCAGTCTATCATTTTTAATGAGTAAAGCCTATAAATGCTGTAACTATTTAACTGCTTATGTTGGAGGGACATAAAATTTTATTGTAACGCAAGGTTGTGGTTCGGAGCTAGTTAGAGAGGCTCTGGGGCGGCAGAAGCTTATGAAACGGGCGAGAGTGATGAACTGGGACGTTATTTGGGGGTGGGAGCAGAAATTAAGTTAACAAAACCAGTTTGGGTGTGGTGGAGGACATATCAATAGGCTGTTGTTTTAATATAAGTATGGGGGGTCAGATAAAAGCCAAAATGAGCTTATTCTGGGGGTCATAACCTAGGACTGGGTCAGGCTTTGGTCTCTGGGTGGGGGGGTCAGTGGGGGTTGGGAAGAAGAGCAAGGTGAACTGATCATGTGACTCGGTCACCTGACTGCCCCGGGACATGCATAAGCTGTCTGCTATCTGGAGATGTTTAGAGCTCCAGAACATCCCAACGCACACGGTCAGCTGACATCATCTCACCATAGTCTGCACTCCTCTGGTGACGACGTCCCGGTGAACACGGGCTCTGCTATTAACAGCAAGGATCTCGGGGGTGGGTTTAATACCAGGAGATGCTGAGAATCGCCTTTGTTGTCTACTAGGGGGGTGACCCGGGTGAGCAGTGTTACGAGGACTGGTGGGACTCCGGTCTATGTGAGCTGTCGAGTGCATCAAGGCCGCAGAAACCTTTTGGCTGTCTTAACGTGGGATGTGGACATTCGGCACGTCGTCTCACTTCTGCCGTGGGGGGGGGAATAAGAGGATGTTTCGCAATCCTTGGCCGGCCCAAGCAGGCAGCTTGGAGTCTGCACTTGCTACATCTTCGGCATCCGGTGCAGACCCTCCCCCCCTCTCCAACCCCCGTCTCCAACCAGGGAGGTCGGAGGGAGACAAGTTGGCCACGGAGGCCCTATATACACTACCGACGAAGAGCTTCGCTCCTGTTGGGAAAAACTGCCTCAATCTCACTGCCAGAATGGGGGGGGGGCTCTGCTCAATAAGGGCTTTCTCCCGTTCCCAAATAACCCCTCCCAGCGGGAATAAATCCCTCAGAGCCTCTTCAGTCGTTTGTGGGAGGAGCTTATTTCTGGGACACTGATTTGTTCTGGATTATCACCAGTTTTCGTGTGATACCGTTTGGCCTGTCCTCGAACCCGGGCCCTTAGTGTTTCATGCGCCCACTCATTAATTCCTTATCAGTCGTCACTCATTCCTCACCTTAACCCTTGAAGCACATGAAAAGGCGACCCTGTTCCGGATCTTTCTGTCCCCCCCCCCTCCCACCCAGTACATGAATCGGTACCTTATGTTCCCGGCAGCCTCACCGAACGTCCGTCCTTGAAAAGCTCATCATTTTCCCTTTTCGCCACTTTCTTTTCAGGGATGTGTCGACGGGCATCGACTGTTTCCTGTTCATTGTGTTAATCTTGAAAAGGATTGGGCCTCTTCTCTGTGCTCTGAGCAGTCAGCGTACGCCCCCCCCCCCCCACCGCCGGCACTGAAACTAAAGCCTTTCCACCCCCCGCTCTGGTGCGATTGGCAGGGATCTGCCGGCACACTGAAATGTCAGCTGACAGC